CTCTGTAGCAGTGCACGGCTACGGTAAGACCTGGGAAAAACCAACAACATGTATTAGTCACCCCCTACAATGCTGTGAGGAAGCTAAACGTTTGAAAGTATCCAAATAAGGTTGGTTTAGGAGAATTTACAGGAGGACAAAAGAAAAGCTTTGGTCGGGGTTGGACTCAGAGAAGGAGGCTGTGGATATTTCCTGGAAGGCACTAGTGCAAATCCACTAAACTTGTCTCTTTTTGCTGGGTGCAACATTGGACTTTCACCCAATAGTAAGCGGTTTGTGTGCCTTGCAAAACCAAAACTCATTACTCTTTTAACTAACTTAATTTAAAGCCAAATGATCTGGCCACAAAGTGTTGGTTTCGTAAATATAACAGCTGTTTTTTGCTTTGTTTTCTTCCCATTTATAATGTTAACCACTTCTAAGTCACGACAAATGTGTTTCGTCTGAAATGTTATTGACCAATCGAATGGGAAACACATTTTGTAGGAAACATGGTTGCTTTGTTACATGCGATCATGCATAGCTTACAGGTTTTACTAGAAGTTGTCCTCATTAGCAGTCTGTAACTGATCTATTAAGCATAAATACATGTTTTATTAACCATCACAATGCCATAAGCATCAGTTTATAAACTCCCGGTGTAGGGTACAGGGAAAGAAATGACCTTAAACACATAGAAACAACCTAAATATTCTTTGTGTACCAAAACATCTGCTCGAGTCAAAGGACAAAGTGATGTAGTCAACGTGACAGAAAATTGGGGGGAGGATGGGGATAAAGGGGGGTTAGGGTGGAGGAATGACAGGAAGGATTTGACGAAAACAGATGTGACATGTTGGAATGACACCGCCTGCGAACAGCGAGCGAAATGCCTTTTCTCTGCGTGATAGTGAATGCGCATAAAAATAAGCTTTGATTCATTTAGCTGGAGCAATTATCCGACACAGCCCGATATCCGACACGTGGAACCTGTTCTGTGCAAACCGATGAGTACGACAACTGTTCTTTGACAGCTGATATGTGGAAGTAGACGCATATAAGTCAGTTTTTCCGTTCTCAGCCAGCAACACATTCTTTGGCCTTTTTTTTTTCGTCTTCATCTCTTCTCGCTCTCCATATAAATCTGCCTTATTCTCTCCATCTCTGTCTGTCTTTCCCAGGCGACAGACGGTGCCTCCTGTTCAGTTTAGCAGTTATTACACGCTCTAAGACACTCTGACTCACAGAGAGGCGGAGGCAGAGATAAAGAAAGATGGGTGATGATGGACGAAACAGTAAGTGGAGGGTAGAGAAAGTAGATTAAGGATAATGGGTGTGTTGCGTGACACCTCTTTTTATGCTGAATGTGCGGTCTTTGTCATGTGTCGGCCTTTTTACAGCATTGTCTGTCTGTAGATAATATAGCAGCTCATATCAGTTGCACTTAACAAATAATTAGTGGTCTTTATGTCCAAAGAACTAAATAAATGATCGTAAACTGTTCCCACAATGCTTTGGTAAAGACCATAGAGTTGATTTCACTCAATAAGAGCTTGCGCTAAATGTTTTATTTACCTTATTTATGCAAACGGCTTAAAAAAAGGCTTTAATAAATGGTATGTTACTGACCTAAAGCTAAATAGTAGACGGACAAGGTTTGCGACAAGCTAGCAGCAGTTTAATAGTTGGATAAGAAACATAAGAAAAGGGAAGTGAATAATCATACATTAACCTTTTGATGGTGGAGACCAAAAACAGAGCTAAAAGAGCAATAATTGGACTTCTATTCGTCAAGTGATTAGACACAAGATGCCAAATGAATGTCAACTTTTTTCCTTACACATTTCTATTATAAAAACATAACATTTATTCAACAAAATCGCTGAGTATACACTGGTTCCACGTATGAACAAGAACAAGTTGAATGTCTTTGTGTTTTGGACCCATCTGTTTAAATCTGGGAAGTTGAGACTGACACTATGATTGTTTTTGCCATGATTTAAACTACAAAATGCATTTGTTAACTGTCTTTGGACATTGTTTATTTCCCCTTTAGAGCGGAGGGTCCATCGTAAAATAATGTCATCCTGTTGATATAAACGATGCAGAGATCCTGTTGCAGCATACCTTTCCCTTCCCAAACATTCAAACAGTGCCACACCAGAGACCTATTAATATACACAGAGGAGCATATAAACAAATAAACTCTGCAGTCATTTCAGGACATGCCAGAACTATACAAAATAGTGGGGATGGTCTGTGAAACAGAGAGACACTGAATATCCATTTGATATGCTTCCTCTGGCGACCAATTACAGAGCCAATTAGAGGAGAACATATTTCAGCTTCAGCTATTTGAATATAGATTGCTTTTGGCTTTTTCACACGTCACCTACAAACCCTCTCAATCAAAGCAAGTAACACCATCTTGGCATGTGGTGGGATTTTTATGATATTTTAGGCAATCACTTGTTGAATCTTCGAATCAGCTTCAAGAGTTCATAACAAGCAAGCAAAGCTGGACACAGACTTCCCCTGAGGCACACTTAACATTCATCTGATAAATATGAACGTGTGATATTTAAAGAACCAATCACGGACAGCTCAATGCCGAGGGGGTGAAATGGGCAGGTGGCGGGAGATAAAATACTGAAAGCAGGCCATGGTGGTACAGTGAGATGGCAGATTGGCCACTACATGTTTATATGAACCCCCGAGAAGTGGATATACTGTAAAAATATAGGCAGTATATAGAATATATGATCAAGTAATGACTTTTGTACACTTTGAGCTTTATCCAGGCTCCTTTCAATGGATTAATTGCTTAATTTATAATAACTAGCTTCAACACTTTGATGATATTTAGTCGATGTTGGCCTAAATATACGTTCTGGTGTAATTTGTCTGCCGTCAAACCATTACTTTTGTGTCCATTTTAGTTTTAAGCAGTCCATCAACTGTTGTAGTGAGTTGACATTTGAATTGAGAGGCAGATAGATCTGTACATCGTCGGCATAACAATGGAAGGGGATGTTGTGTTTTGTGAGAATTGAATTTAGGGTTAGGGTTAGGGTTAGGGTTAACCTAGCTTCAACACTTTGATGATATTTGGTCGATGTTGGCCTAAATATATGTTCTGGTGTAATTTGTCTGCCGTCAAACCATTACTTTTGTGTCCATTTTAGTTTTAAGCTTAAACTATTACTCTTAGTTTGGCTGAAAAGTCAATTTGACTAATCTAAAAGCTTGCTTATTTGAAAAGCTTATTTGCAAAGATTAGAGAATGCAGATGTTCTTTTTCATTAATCCCTCATCCAGAAACCAACAACAACTTGTAAAAGTCCTAATTTCTCTACAGTAATGACAGCCGCTTTCGAAATATCGCTATAAAGACACTGACAGATATTTGTCTTTGTTTGGGGTTGCATTGTTGACTCGTCATTTCCCTCCGAGAGCCCGAGAGACACAGGCCACCCCGGGGAAGCAGTGCATTTTCGAATGAGTGCACACACGCACGTAAACACACACCAACGCGCCGGTCGTACGGTGACAAATCTGCAGATGGTATACAGTCATCGGTTTATGAGTAGCATGGATTGAACTCACACAACGAGTGATGTCAGGAGGGCCTACACATTTCAGCTTTAAATATCAGATTGGTCATGAAGTCGTCAAACAGGCCCAACGACAACCTGTGCTCATCTACTTACACAATAAGCTAAGCTTTTACTTAACTTTTGAATCCATCCATTTGTGTTTAGTGTATCAAGAATATGTGAAGTACTAATACATGTCTAAGACTGCTATGGAAAACTAAAAATACTGCTACGACCAAGGATGTACAATGTGTATTATATTGTTTAGCCGCTACAGATATTTACCTGCTTCCCATGGCCAATACCTATAAGATAACCAATACTTTTAATATTTTTTAAATGTTTAATAGCAAGTTCATAACCTGTATTTTTTGCACACCTGAGGGTTAGGAAGCGTAGGTTAATATTTAATAGTTAATCTAATATATAATAATATTTAATCTAACTGACATCAATAGTGTAAACAGAGCAACAACAAAGATTTGGCTAAGTTATATTCCTTTCTCTTTTTTTGGTTAAGTCCTTTAATACAATTTCACCGCAAAACAATCATGTTAGTTTGACCTCACATTAATGCCGATAATTTGTCCAATATAATTTAAATATTGACAGAATGATGTCATTCTGAAAGTAGAGTGCTAGCGATGACGAATAAATAAAACAGTCAGTGTTAATATACAATTATTATTTGGCCACTGGAGTAAAAATCACTAATACAGCAGCAGAAGATGAACTTTAAAATGTAAAGATCGTATTGTTAAGGCTTCATTTTGAATTGTGAGACCTGCGGAGAGATCAATGTGGCGACGTCAATGAAATGAACTAACCTTTACCTCTGGTTGTGTTTTCCCCTCGGGCGCACCATTTAATTCCTGGCTGTTCCAATGCACACACACAAACACACACTGTGGATGTAAATAAGCAGCAGGCTTCAGTAACTTTCTCAGATAACAGTAATTCAATACAAAGTGTTTTTTTCCTATCAGCCACTTGTTTTCATGTCCTTCCTCCCTTCAGGTGCTTCTCGTGTTCTCTTTCCTTTGTTCACTGCCCTTTCCTTTTAGTGTTGTCCTCACGTCTGTTCTAAACACATTTCCAGCTATTTCTTTTCCTGCCCCACAATCCCTTTCTACTCATCTCTGCCAGCACTATTAAGTTATAACTAATTAACTTCCATAGAGTCCCACAGGTGAAACACAGTCCCGGAAGAAACCTGCTGCACGCTGTATTTAATCACTTTGTGTGTGTGTTTACATGCTGCCTGTGTGTGTGTGTGTGTGTGTGTGTGTGTGTGTGTGTGTGTGTGTGTGTGTGTGTGTGTGTTCCTGTGTGAAGTGTCTGTGTTAAGGATGGCAGGAAGAAGGAGATGTATTCATTATCACGGTGCAGAGAAGTGATTTTCACGCCTCTTCTACCTGTATACAGGAGCTGACGCCATGACCACAGAAATGCAGGACATCGCCATCACGGAGGAGAAGCCATTACTGACGGGTCAGGCTGAATCCAAGGTCAGAGGAGATGCCACACAAACACACAAATATGTACGATAATGATGATTCGTTGTTGGATCAAGTCTAACATTTTACTTGTGTCGCAATGTTAAGACACAATACAAGGAAAACAGACATTTAACACCACGATCACTGGAGAAAAACACATGTTGCACACAAAGGATGCAAAAACATGTTATACAAGCTGGAAGAGTGTGTGTGTGTGTGTGTGTGTGTGTGTGTGTGTGTGTGTGTGTGTGTGTGTGTGTGTGTGTGTGTGTGTGTGTGTGTGTGTGTGTGTGTGTGTGTGTGTGTGTGTGTCAGGACTCAGAAAAACAAGGCTTGGATTGTGTGTGAGCATTTTGTTTCTTTGCTGTCCGCCTGTGCGTTTTGGAGTATGAGCAAAGCGTACTTGTGACACAATGTGGTGGAAATACCCTGACCGAGTGTGTGTGTGTGTTGTGCACAGCTGCAGGGCTCGCTCAGAGGAGGTCAAAGCCCCAGAAGGGGAGAGAGCAGCTCCTTTGCTGATGTTTTTCGAGAACGAGAGAGCAGAGGGCTCTCACTGCTGACTCCTGCTGGGAAGAACAGGGAAATACAGCACTAAAACAAAAACAACACTCAAAGGGACAAATAATCTCAATTTGAATCCAGGGAGTGAGCAGGTAGAGGTTTAGTGATATTAGTAACAAGTAATGTCAGGAAGTTAGAGACTTCTGTCACTATTATAACAATACTAAATAACTATAATTTTCTTATTGTCTACAATCCCATGAAAAGCAATACATCATTTCTTGGCATCTCAATAAAACAAAGTAGCACTTATAATGGTTAAGCTAATGGAAAGCTAACGTGGCTAATGAGATTGTTGCTGTTTCAAGTTATTTTTTTAATGGTTTCATTTGGAAATGTCAGCTGACTGAAATGTAATGTAATAATATACAATTTATCTACGTTTGGATCCTGAGTCAATATTTAAAACCGTTTAAAAGTTCAGTATTTTCCTTAGAGAGCAGGGCACTTTAGTTTTAAGCCAACAGTAAGAATTGAGAGAATTCCTTGAGGACTTTTTTTCATCTATTTTCTCCAAAAGTTAGAGTTAGATATTGCGTCTTTGGCATATTTGACATAGACTTTCACAAATCTTACCATAAAAGTAAATATTTGTCTTGATGGAAATGTGGACAAATGAGCTAAATTTCAATGAGATAATTCCTCATTGTCACATTTAAAAGTACAATTTCAGAAAACTCATAATACAAACATTTGTTGTCTTAATGTAAGTAAACAACTTGGGACATTTCACGTTGATATCTATTAGTTAAAAATGGTAACCTATTCCCTTATAGATTACAATTTGTGAGAATGTACATATATAAATAATAGAAAAGAACAGATATAAGTTATGGACTCATCTCTCTTTCCTGCATCATCGACTATGATAGGACCCATGGGGATGTGACGGGTGATTATCCGACCCTCCATCGGTCTCAGTGACATCCCGCCTCTGCCACACCTATGATCGCGAACACGCTTCATATTGATTAAACTAACGACCTTTTATAATGCAGCCATACTGTATGCAAACGCCCACCTCTACTTCAACTCTCCAGACTGCTCATTTCAGAGGATCTTGGGATGCTTGTAATCTAATAGCTGGGTAAATGGATCCAAGCTTGCAAATGAACGTGAAGCCTCCCACTGACAGACGTCCTGCTAACAATCCTCGGTATCCCACAACCACCTGCTCCTCCTGAGAGTTCCTCTGCTGCTTTTTCCGGAGTCTAACACCGCCCTTTTGTCTGTGTGGGTGTTAATTACTGAGCGAGCACGGCGCCTTTTAACATAAAAGGACTTTGAAAGAACAATACGTTGGAATTTTCTCTCAAATATGCTTTTGGCTTCTATTTATACGCAGTAAAAAGACAAAGAAAGAAGAAGAAAGACAAATCCGTTGTTATGCTCATCAGATTCTGACGTGAAGTTCTTCTGATTACAATTACTACAATTTATCAAGACTTTTATGAATGAAATTAACAAAGTTGTTAAATTGAGTCCTTTTAAGAAGTTTTTTTTAAAGTAAAAACACCATCTGATGTTTTTTGGTTCATCAATGTAAGGAGTTGCTACTTTTCGTTCTCTTCTATGGAAATAAACTGATTTTATTTGGCTTGTTGGTCGGATACAAAAAGACAATATATGACATTTATTTCGACTCAATTGTTGTTTGATTATCAAAGATTTATTCATTGTTGAAGAACCTAGATGGTATCGGTTTATTTTTCCTGTGCTACACAAACAAGACAAAAGTGAAGTGACATCTAAAAGTCAGATTTCACACCTTGTTCTAACAAGACTTCATTTCTGTATTTCTCACAGGATGTTGAACTGGCTGCTCGGATACTCCTGGACCAAGGACAGGTAAGACTGTTTTCTTTATCGTAGGAAATATCAACAAAAGATAAAGTAAAATCATCAAAGTCTCTTTTTAGTTATTTCAGATCATTTGTTGCATTTATGAGTCTCCTTAGTAGTTTTAATCTTATTGTAGTTGCCTAGGTTCCTTTTGTAATTGTTGTAATTGATTTTCCGTTTCATGGTAGTCATTATTTGTATGTTTGTGGTTGTTCTACCCTTTTTCATGGTCAATATAAGTCTCTTTTAGGAACACGGAATAAAAACCTTGGGGGAGATACTGTATATTTGATGAACTACTAGAACATAGCTGTTAGCTCACTCCAGCAATGTCAATAATATAACACTTCATATTTGTTATTTCTTTTCTCTTGCTCTCTGCAGGAGCACAGCATCGAGACCCCGCACGGTCTTCTGCACGTGACCCTCCACGGCACACGGACCACCCGTAGGCCCGCCATCCTCACCTTCCATGACGCGGGTCTGGACAGTAAGTCTCTCTCTCTCTC